GCGGCCTGGCAGGCAGAGATCCAACAGGTAAAGATTCCCTCCCGTCACATTGGTGTGTCTGCATGGGGAGGATTGTAATCTGACACTATATTTCTGCCGGGGGAAATTCGCAGTGAGAAAGGATATCGTTGTGATTCTCTGATTGTTTTGGACTTACATGCCTGTCTTTTCTAGCCTGCCTGGCTAGTGTGTGAGTGGTCGTGCCAAGTTGCCTAACTCTATATTGTTTGTTGGGGGGGGGGGGAATAAAAGCAGCAGAATCCTTAACTGCTTCTTTCTCACTTTTCCTACCATTCACACTGGGGCCAGGTGTTGCATTCAGTCATGTTTTATAAACCGCAGTGTGTAACTGCTTACACATTACAGTAAGCCAAACGCAGTCAAGTCACATCATGATTTAGTGTAGGTACAGATGGGGATCCAAGCCATGATCCCTTAGAAAAAGAAGTGTTTTCCTAAGAACTAGAGAACTCCAGCTTTGTCGTCAGTGGAAGCAGAATTTCTAAGGCTTTTCAGTCCCAAGTGCCTTTCAAGGTGAGGTGCAGCCTGAAGGGCACCAGTTGGCTTGCCCCTGATTTCAAATTTCTCAAATGCTTGCAAAATTGGAAATGCTTCATTCTGTGACACTCTGATTTATCCTTTTCTTTTGATCTGCTTAGGGGCGTGTTCGTACAAAGACGGTGAAAAAAGCTGCACGGGTTATCATTGAAAAATACTACACTCGCCTTGGAAATGACTTCCACACAAACAAGCGAGTGTGTGAGGAAATTGCCATCATCCCTAGCAAAAAACTGCGGAACAAGATCGCTGGGTAGGAAATGTTGCTAACGTGATTTCATGCAAAGCTTTTGGCCGATCATTCTAAACCTTGATTTTGCTCTTTAGCAGAACCTGCATCGAAAGTGATTTTGGTCTTGTTTGTGACCAGGTCATTGATAATGCAGGAAAAGAATTCTTGACAGCATTTCCCGTGTTTGGAGGACTTGTTTACTTTCCTACCAAACCCTGAGCTTTTCAGACACTACTGCAAACCAGTTGGCTAGAATGGAGGCAACAACTTGGTTTGACATTTTTCTGTGCTTGAAACTTTAAGGCTAAGGTTTGTTGGGTCATTTCTGAGCTTATTGAAATTTTTGCTTGAATGCCTTTGATGGTTTTTAGAGGGAGAAAAATGACAGTGAAATATACTCAGACCCTCTGTTCTCCTCTAAGGTACGTCACCCATCTGATGAAACGCATTCAAAGGGGGCCGGTCAGAGGTATCTCTATCAAACTGCAAGAAGAGGAAAGAGAAAGAAGGGATAACTACGTCCCAGAGGTAAGTTTTGTAACCTCAGTTGAGTTTCACAGAGTCTTATTGTATAATTTTAAACAAAAGCACATTTAGCTCCAGTAAATCTTGTATGGCAAGAATCCTCTCTGAAATACGTAGTCATCTTAGCAAAGCTTTGTTTCTGGATCATCTGTAATCTTACATAATTTGAACTTTTTCTGGTCAGTAAATTGGGATTTAAATTATTACCATGAGTTAAAATCTAGTGTGGATTTACAGTGGCTTACAATCACTCAGCTGGCTTATACTAGTCATCCATTTCTTGCCATCTGTAATGTGAAAGTGGGATTTGAAGCAGAATCAGTTTTAGGAACTTGTTCACATACTATCCATTTCTTTGTACAAAGCTGAAGGAAAAACAAAAGTACTAATAGGACAAATTTAGATCTGAAATTTGTTGTAAGGAGGAGTGTCACTGCAGTGGCCTGTGTGAATGGGGCTTAGCATTGGATCAGGGTATAGAGCAGAAGTTGGTGGTTTGTCCTAGACATCTCTTTCTAATAGCGAAGATGAACTGAGCCTGCATTCGAAAGTGATAAAGGCCTTTTGCCTGTGGCCTTGTCATTGATAGTGCAGGCAGAGGATGCCTGAAAGCATTTCCCGTGTTTGTGGGGCCTCTTGCTATCTCCTTCAAACCCTGAGCTTTTCAGACACGATTTTCATTTAGCGCAATAGCATGTGATACTTCATACTTGATCTTGGAAGTCTTAATTACAGTAGTTTTGGTGATAATTGTTTTTTTTTTCCTTATTAACATAAGGGCAGTCTTGCTATACTATATTCTGTTGTGTTCAAAAAAATATACAGCTGCCTTTCCGAAATTCAGAAATGTGACTTATCTCTTGACAGAAATATATGTCAAAGTACTGTCTATACAGTTGACTTTTTCTGTTCTGATGATTTACAAAGGAATAGCCTTGCTCTGGTAGGACCCTGACTATTTAAAGCTGTAGTTATTTGGTCTTATAGAAGATAGCCAAGGCAGGTGATGGTTACTCTGGTTTTGTTAAGATAATGAACAAAAATGATAGGAAAAAAACAAATCTGTAATTGGCAGTCCATGCATAATTTTAGAATAAAGCTAAGGGGCATTTTCTGGTGCTTGATGTTTTTGATAGTTGATCTATCTACCTGGGTATAGGACTGCCCTGATACAATTCTTTGGACATAGGAGATGAAGTCTAATTGAAGTTTCTGTTTTTTATTGTGCTAGTTTGGGTCTGTCTTTCACTGTTCTTGAGTGACTAAAAGTGGTATGTCATTTTCTGCCTGTGACAGTATTTAGGATGTTGGGAGAAGAAGAGCCATAATGCTTTCTGTTTGTAGCACAGTTTGGTAAATGTGGACAGAAAATTACATTTTGAGCAGTTTCTATGGGAGGTATTTTGCATGTCCTCTGGGGTCCCAAATTTCAGTCAATGGTGGGAAGACTTTCATTGTTCTGTTAAGTTCCCAAATTTGAGTTATTAAAAAATATTTGCAGTTACTACATACAGATATATTTTGTTCTTAAAGCTTTTCAGGTTAGATTATCTGAAAATAAAGGATACCCAAAATGAATATTTGATCTTATTGAGGGCCTATTTGTGTTTGATGCCTATGTGCATCGCTCTTTGACTGTAGATTTTTATGGAGAACAGAGGGCCATACTGTTTATTCTGGTGTACCTGTGTCAGCCTTCCTCAACATGATCAACTCTTCCAAATGTTTTAGGATTAAAAGCCTTTCCATCCACCAAGACTATGGTGGTACTAATTGAGGTTTCTGGAAATGGTCCACATATCTGGAGGACAACAGGTTAGGCAAGGCTGCTGTTGGTGAATTTGGCACAGTCATATAGTTTTGGCTGATACTTTAACTCCTTTTGTTCACATTTCTTGAAACTTCTTGCTGATAATCTCAGGCTGCCTGCAAGAAGAGGGTTTACAACAATGTGTACATCACACAGTTGCTGTGTTTTGGCTCATAATTCTTGAACCTGTTTTAACCAAGTCAGCCTTTGCCTCTTTCTTCATCAGGTCTCTGCCCTGGATCAGGAGATCATTGAAGTGGATCCTGATACCAAGGAAATGTTGAAGTTGCTGGTGAGTGGGGCATGTGGTATGGCTCCCAACAGAATTGCTTTTCTATCGCCAGGTGGCAGTTTCTTGAAATTGGCTGTTGGTGTGAGCGCCTGAAGGTTAAGTGAAAGTAAAATAGCCATGAGAGCCAGCGGTTAAAGGCACTAGGCTATAAGGTGGGAGACTGTGAGTTCTACTCCTGCCTTAAGCATGAAGCCAGCTGGATAACTTTAGGCAAGTCTCTCTCTTGAAACCTTAGGAAGAAGGAAATGGCAAACCAATTCTGAAAATGTTGCCAAGACAACTGCATGCGCTTGTCCAGGCAGTCATCAGGAGTCAAGACTTGACTTGAAGACACCCCTCCCCCCCACCCCCAAAAGTTACACCACTTGGCAGCAGTTCTGAAAGTTTTCTTGGGCAGTATTATTATGTAGTGTGATGTTTAACAGCCAGCAAGGTGCAGGGGGAAAGCCAGCAAAACTGCTTGGGAAATCACTAAAATGCTTGATGTACAGTGGCAGGTTATGACTGCTAAATGCATTCATTTATTTTTGCACACCAAAGGAATTGAGCATCAAAGACCACCCAGGTGGTTTCAAGTAGATAATTTGGCCCGAATAAGATCTCCTTTTCAGCTCTTGCATAGGGATCTGCTTAGTGTATCTTGGCTCTCTTCTGTTTCCAGGACTTTGGCAGCCTGTCCAACCTGCAGGTCACACAGCCCACCGTAGGGATGAACTTCAAAACTCCAAGAGGTGCCATCTAAATCCATTTCCGTATTGTCACTTTTACAATAAATATATAGAAACAATGCCTTGACTTGTATTATTTCAAATACCTGTGTCTTCTAGGTACGTGTTGTTTACACGGATTCTCCATGTCCTGTAGAGTAAGAATTGATTTGGTTGCATTCCTGTCTCCTGCTAAGCAATGTTTGTGTTAACTTCGATTATCAATTTATTCTTGATAAACACTGCTGCCAAGCAAGGTGTTTTTTGTTAAATGCACTCAAACTGACTGCTTAATGATTTGTTACAACATTTTGCCCAGTATCAACATCAAACTGACTGGATTCTTTTTTCAACCCTTTTTGAAGATAGGAGCAACTCCTAGCTGCAGTCCCTTCACCAATCTTCTGTCCCCCATGATTTTTCAAAGATCATGGAGAAGATTGCTATGAACCCAATCTCAAAAATGTATCATGTATTTCATTCACCCGGACAGGCTATCAAGCATCTACCTATAGATCTCTTAAACAGGATCTTATCAGAGACTAACACATACATAAAGCAGTAACATCTCTCAATTTATATATGAAATATGAGGTTGATTTTTTGGGTGGCCCTATGGTAGGAGAGCCCTTTCTGACTTGGCTTCCTCCAGATGTGCAGACGTCTCTAGAATTCTCTGCAGTGGCCTTGCATCCTGGGAGTTGGCCATTAAGGCAAGCTGCATTAGCATGATACAATCAGAAGAGTATCTCGTGGCCAGTCATGACTCCCCTCCCCCCCCGCCATTTATTCTCATCCCAAAGAGGAGGGCTGTAAAATGGGGGTGATAGTTGAAATCTCTGGAGACAGAATAAGTTTCAAAATGTGTTTGAGGAATAATGGACAATACTAAAGATTTTATTTGTTACTTGTCATAACAATTTAGCACTAAAGTTATGCAATGTTTCAACCCAGTTTCAACATTTACAAGTATTTGTCTTTGGAATGGTTGGCAGAATTAAAGCAGGGGAGACACAAGACCAGGTACGAAGACATCTGGACAAAGAAGAGCAAAAGGAAATAGGTTTCTTATCTTAGTTTCAGAACATTAATATGTTCCACTTGGTTCACTACAAATTAATCTTGTTCCACATTCTAACCACTGGGATCATGTCTCCTGAGTGAATTATTCAATGAGATTTGCTTTTGGATTTAACCCAGACTAAGTATTCACACAGTTGCTCCCCTGTGGGTTCTTTGATGAGCATTCAGGTGTGTGCTTCTGCTGAAGCTCTTGCCGCACTGCAAACAGGTATATGGCTTCTCTCCCGTGTGAGTTCTTTGATGGGAAGTGAGGCTTGAACTTACACGGAAGCTCTTTCCACACACCATGCACTGGTATGGTTTTTCCCCTGTGTGAATCCTTTGATGGGTGTTAAGATCCGAACTCCGTCGGAAACTCATCTCGCATTCCAGGCATTTGTATGGTTTCTCTCCTGTGTGAATTCTTTCGTGGTATGTGAGGCTTGTGCTCAAACAGAAGCTAATCCCACATTCTAAACATTTATAGGGTTTCTCCCCTGTGTGAGTTCGCTGATGGTAAGTTAGGTTGGTACTTACACAGAAGCTTTTGCCACATTCTAAGCACTTATAGGGTTTCTCCCCTGTGTGAATTCTCTGATGGGAAGTGAGGCTTGTGCTCACACGGAAGCTTTTCCCACACTCCAGGCATTTATACGGCTTTTCCCCTGTGTGAATCCTCTGATGAGAAATGAGGCTTGTGCTCAAGCTGAAGCCAATCCCACATTCCAGGCATTTGTAAGGTTTCTCCCCGCGGTGAGTTCTTTGATGATAAGCCATGCTTGTGCTGGAACTGTAGCTCTTTCCACACTCAGAGCATTTATAGGGTTTCTCCCCCGAGTGGCTCCTCTGGTGACTGGCGAGGCTGGTCATTGCGCTGAAGCTTTTGCTGCACTGGGAGCATTTATAGGGTTTCTCTTCTGTGTGAATTCTTCGATGAGCACTGAGGTGTGTGTTTAAACTGAAACTCCTTCCACACTTCTCACATTTAAATGGCTGCTCCTTGATGTAGCTTGTGCAATGAGCTATAAGGTTTGAGTCAGAATGGAAACTCTTCTGACGTTCAAGGAAGGTATTCTTTTCATTTCCTTTATTGTTTTTTTCTGGATTGGCAAGCTCACGGTGGTCCCTGGCCAGAGAGGCAGATGCTTTATTCTTCATCTGACTTAATTTAGTTTTCCTTCTCTGTGGCTCCCTTTTTTTATCTCCCTTTTTTTCTGGATCCAAAACACGCGGTTCTTCTTTATTCTCCATCTCTGACTTGTTAGCTTCTGTAATGAAAGCAGAGAATTAATATTAAAAGCAGATCTTCCAATCACTGATCGACTACAATTAAGGACCACAATAATGGGTGAACTGAAAAGATGAAGCAGGGGAACTCTTATCAAGTGTTTAACAAGCTATCTTGACTGGCCCAGACCACTGAACTCGCAGCCCTCAGTATTTTCTCAGCTTCAATCCTGGGGTACTTAAGATAATCTTTCCCTCTCAGTCTGGCCCAACTCACAAGGTTGTTATGCAACTCCATGGAAGAATTACATGCCTATTCTGAACTCTTTGGGGTAAAAACAGGATATAATTATGCTTAAAGGGGAAATAAACAGACAATTGGCAGAGCTTAACTGTATGCCAGCTTGAATTCCTCTCTCAACGATGGTTGGACCACCTCTAGGTGGTGTGGCTTGCAATTCCCTTAGTTCCACACCAACTAGTTTATATCTGGCATTACTATTTATATACTAGGGCTTAAGATACATCCTTATTTAAGAAAAGCCTGACAGCTATTAGATTTATGAAGAACCACAAGATCTGAAGGAGCAAGAGTTCATTCACATGAACCTCTCCTACCGGCCAAAAAAGTTTTCTGCCTTCATGACTGGCAATTAGGAATATTTAGAAGCAGTTGGGCTGCGTGAGCCAGTTTTTCCTAGTCACTTTTCCACTGTTCATAGACTTTGGAGCAGGGGGAGCTGATACTCTGGAACAGCAATCACTAAACGTTTAACAAGCTCAGCTGAACATTGATAAATCCCAGCTTATTGCTAATATTGAGGCAGACTTGGCAGCAAATAAAATCCATTATTCTACTACTATAGCTTTGGCATCTCCCACAGAAAAGCAACAATCCACAGTGATCTGTTTGCTGACTAGCACACTCTTAATACAGCACTCCCATATAGGCTAGATCAGTGTTTCTCAACCTTAGCAACTTTGATGCTGGCTGGGGAATTCTGGGAGTTGACGTCCACTCATCTTAAAGTTGCTAAGGTTGAGAACGCTGGTCTAGATTGTTAGGTTAATTACAGGTTAAGGGCAAGGCTATTACTCTGGGGCCGCTCAACAGCTACAGGGAGTCCCAATTGCTTTCCTACCCCAACTCGTAAGGGCTGACACTTAAAAACTCGGTATCGGACTGACAATGTGGCACCTAAGGTCATTCCGACAGCAGCAAAATTACAAAATGGTGAGCACTTACCTCTGAAATAAAAATGAAGATTAAAATAGTGGAAATAGATTTTACAGTATCTCTGTTCTCATCTTTTATTCTTTTAATAACAAAGATTATGGAGCAGGAACCTTCATTGTGGCATCATTTCTGGGCAATTCGCTCTTCTACTCTCTCTCATTCTCTCTTCTCTTCTAGGTGATAGCTGTGTTATTGCAACAAACTTTTAGGATTCCTTGGGATTATAGGAGGAGAGGCACATTTGCCTATGGAGGCAAGAAATCAGGACTCTGGTAGCACCTTTTCCAACTAACACGTTTTATTAAAAGGTAGAAACTTCGTTAATTGGAAAAGGTGCTACCAGAATCCTGATTTCTAGGATTCCATGATAGTCCTTAGTGTTCCCTGATGGTTTAATTATCTAATGATCATTGATAAATCCCTGTATTCATTATATTGTGCTTTTAATATTTGAGGTTGATATTTGACTACTGTAACCCATGTTTATAGGATTACATTAATTGGAAAACAAATGTTTTAATTAACAAAACTATATAATTAGCTACATCAGAAGAAAAATTGTAAAGTCATGAAACAGATTGTGCAAAACATTCTGATTCTTAAACCTCAAAGACAAAATTGGGAAGCTCACCAAAAGGGTCCACAGTCCCACGATTCTCTTCCATGACTAGACTGTTAAGAACTCTGCTCAAGATTCAGCAAAATCCACTTCTCCATGAAATGCACAACCTCCTCAAAACGCAAGTGATTCTAAAAAAGAAAACAGGAACTGCTCACTGGCTAGTATAAAAATTACGCATCAGTAATATCCAAAACACTGTTTCAGGAGAAACAGCAGGTCTTCTCCTGCAGGATTTAAACCTTCATGAACAGCATCCATCGTTTTCACAGTGGACAGTTTTTTACATATAAAGGCAAGAACAGAGATTTGTTCAGATCACCCAAGCTGACTCCTTCCCATTCCGCTACTTGAATCATCCACTGTTCTTGATTTGGTATGCAAAAGCTACTTTGCCTCAGTCATGAAGCGTTGCCACTTTCTTCCTCCAGAAATTTCCCTACAAAAGAAGCATCATTCTTTTATAGTATTACTGTACCAAGCCAGTATTTTCTGAAGCATGTTCAGCTAACTCCAGTTAGCAACCAGGTCTGTCAGAAACACTAGTGAATGCCATATTAGAATTCATTTGGGACCAGGAAAGATTCTTTCATCACAAAACCATAGAATAACATCATCAGTATGGCTGAAGGACAGAAGATGGAGAAGCCATTCACTGGGCCATCTTTGCCATCATCCATACAACTTTCCTTCCCTTAAATTACTTAGTTGAAATTAAGACAGCCATGCAATTAAAAAAAAAAATTAAGTTGACTTGACTTTTGCCTCCAGAAAGCTACATTTTTCCCCTTACCTGCTTGCTTCTGTGAATTCTGTTTATTTGTACACAACACATCTTTTAACATGTTCATTCAACACTTAAATACCTTCCAAAGCCTTATGTGTAAAAATACATTAGAAAATACATTTTAATTACATGGAGAGGGTGTGGAGGGTGTGGATGAAATCTCCCCAGGAGTGCAGAAGTAATGTTCAACACTAATTTTACTGCAAAAGTGATTGGTTTTAGTTGATGAACCCAGAGTGGCTATTTTCATATAAATAACTTCAAATCAGAGCGGTGTTCTGGCTTTAGCGAAGGGAAACCCATAGGCCATCTTCTTTGAAGCGAGTCGAATCAGTGCTTTTCCCATTCTTTCCATCTTGGTCAGAAAATATTCAAGAAACTAAACATTTCCGCATTTGGGGGGGGGAAATTCTAATCGGAACACTGGCCTCTCCTTGGCCAGTTTGTTGATGGGACAGCTCCTCCAGGACCAGGCTGCCTGAAGAGAAGGAGATTTGCTCAAATCCTTGGTTCCGTTATTTTTCAGGATCCTATTAATTTGAATGTTCTTTGGCAAACTGCTCCTAGGGAAGGGTGGCAAAGAAATGAGGTCCCCCGGGTAGGTTTTTCGGTCCACTTTTCAAGGGGCCCTCTCCCCTCTGATGCTTTCCCGCCACAGTGACAATGACCGTATTTTCTTGGAAAACACAAAGGACTAACCTGAAAAAGGGGCAAATCTGAGAGAGGCTCATAAGGATTCTTTTTAATTGTTACTCTGCTTTACAAAGGAGAATTCAAGCGCGAAACCAAGGAAATAGATAATTAAATAAATCTAAAGGGCGGCTTTCTGAGACAGAGGGCTGTCCCTTATCAGCTAGGACGTCTGGTCACTGCGCCCATGCCCAGTGGGGCGGCCCGGGCTGGCTGGCACCGCCTCAGCCCCCTGTCCAGCGCCCTGCAGCGACGCTGGAGCAGCTCCCCGCAGCCCTGAGCCCATCCTCGCCCCCTC